CCCCCACTGTCTTTCTGAGATTCATTTCCAAATAGCAGGAAAGCTGCAATTTCCCCTTTTCATAGTGAAGTCCGGTGTTACCTGCCTTCTGGGGATTCCAGCAGAGTGGTGTGTGCAGTGTAGAACAGCTCTTACAGAATCTTCAATGGCGGTTTTGTTTTGTTTTGTTTTTTTAAGCCAATTGCCAGGCTTATCTTCTGCCTCTGGGTGGTTTTGAATGGCCAGTAGTTTAAGGGTCCAGCATTTGCACCACCCAGGGACTTCTAAATGTTACCTAGAGTTTAGGACTAGCTACCTTCTTTTGAAGGCCTGCCCAGATCTCAAGCATGAGTCCTGATCACTCCACTGTCAAGATGCGGGCCAGGACCCTCACCCTAGAAAGCTTCTGCAGACCCTGCCCAGGAGACCCTGTCACCAGCCTTGCGAGGGGAACACTGGCAGCCTTTTATACTTCTCACTGGTGATTTTTGCCTGTTCTAGAATATCTCCTAGGTGGAATCATTATTTTTGATACACTATCCCAATTTTGAAGTATTGTCCTCCATACAGCCTGTGGAAACCCTCACCAGCCTGCCTGGGTGCCTTGTCGATGAGCCCGCTTGGGTCTTTGAGCGTGCCCTGGCTCTGGCATTGCAGTACCACCCAGACATGTTTCCTGTTTGGGGATTGAACCAGTTGCTTTAAGGAACTCCTTTAGTGGGTTTTAGATATTGTCCATCCCACAAAAGCCTTTATTAAAAAGGCATAGCCACCTGACACCTTTAAGCCTTACTTACTCAGCTGCTATAAAACATACCACACGAGTCATTATCAAGAACAGTAATGAATTTTCTCATAGCTACACATGCAGACCCAAGTAGATAACTTTCTCTTTTTTTGGTAGATAACTTTCTTCTTGGTCCAGAGTGTTCCCTGATTTGTAGGTGGGTCTCACATGGTGCCTACTGTTCCCATGTGTACCTGTGTGTCATTCTGTGTGACCTGTCTATTTCAGACGTTTAATAGGTTAAAAGTGATTAGGTTTTGGACCCATCCTGTGTTGTCAACACAACAAAAGCAAACCTCTATTTTCAAGTAGGACCACACACCCACAGGTACAAGGACCAGGAATTCTCCACGTGTATGTTGGGGCAGGGGGATGGGCTGTAATTCCATGCCTGTCAGCCTTGTGTTACTTGAAGGTCTTGCACTGAGTAGTTTTGGTGAAGGAGGTCTATGCGATGGAGGAGAAAGAGGACAGGGCTTTTCTTGCTCAGGGTGACTGGATGGTCATGTCCCTAGAAGCAGGATTTAGCTGCCCTGTCCGTCTCTGTCCCCACCAACTAGCTCAGGGCCTGACACACAAGTTACATGCTAAATGTGTGTTGAATAATATAAGTATAGCTTCAAGTATTGGCCTTCTTTTATCAGGTAGCTGAGATTCCACCATAGATAGGGGTCAAACTTGTGGCTGTGTAGCACAGGACAGTAACTATTGCTGCCACCTCGCCAGTAACTTACAGCTATTTCCTGTGCCAGCCTGAAAACAGGCCAGATTGCTCCAAGAAGGAATCTCCTGGCCCTGGCCTCTGTGGGTGCCATGTTGGATTTCCTGAGAGACATTTGTGGGCCTTCTCAACAACGAATTCCAGGACATCCATCACCCAGCTTCATAGCTATCCATACTTTGCCATCCTGTTTCATCTGCCCCTTCCCCCGAATATTTTAGAGCAAATACCAGGTCATGTGCTTTTCAGCTGCAGAAACTATGTCTCACTACCACTCATGGCTGTGGCGTCTATTTCAAATAGCAGCCTCGTGTGGCATGGCCCTGGAGGCATGGTAGTGAGTTACAAACTGGGCTGATAATTGCAAGGTCCACAGTGTGAAAATAAACACTGCTATTGATCTGATGCGGATGCACAGCTGCCCTGTCGGTTTCCAGGACTGTAACTATAGGACGATAGCACTTCCCCTGTGAGTTTCGGAGATGGTAACTCTTTATGGGAGTAGAAAGCCCCCTCTTTCTCCCGAGGAGCTGCTGGTGGTTTCCAACTGCTGACCATGCAGATCAAAGCCCAAACTTTAACCACCAGGACTCCTCATAGAGTGAAAGCCTTGGGATCTCGCAGGGGCAGTTCTACCCTGCCCTATATGGTTGCTCTGAGTTGGAATCAACTCCGTGTCGTGAGATACTTGTGTAGGACAGCCGAGAGAGACGTGCTTATGAAGCCTGGTGCAGTGTCCTTTGCTCCTGCCTGAACACAAGCTGTGCTCCAGCTGCCCTCAGTCCCTTTGTGCCTCTCCAGGTAGACCCCTTTAACTCTCACACACACATCCCTCTTACACGATGTAGAAGGAAGCTCTAAGAACAAACTCAGGAGGCTCTGCCTTCGCACCTAGAGCTCTGTTGGGTGTCCTGAAGCATTGTGGAGACAGTGGTTTGGGCCAATCATGGCCGAGGTTGTCTGGCAGCATTGGCCTGCCTCTCTGGCTCCTCAGGCTGTGATAGAAGGGTTGGCCCTTCAGTGGAGCTAGGAACCAGCTGTTACATAAGCTGCTGTTGATTTTACTACTCGAACTCAGCATGGACCAGGCTCTCTGCATTGTGGGAATTGAGTAACTGATGATGGCCAGCTTGTAAGGTCAAGACTAGGACTGTCCTGAAGACGTGTGTCGAGCCCTTCCTGTCAGCTGTCTCAGCCTTGCCTGGGTCGACCCCATAGCCGTGCCCGTTGTTAGCGGACCAGGGAGTTCTTGCTCTCCCCACCCTTCACCCATCTGCCTTCCCCTCGCCTTCCAGAGCACCTTCCTTCTCCAGATGTCAAGACTTTGAAGATGCTCCCCAGGTGGTTTCCAGGACTTGTCAATATCTTTCTTTTTGTGCATGCACGCGGTCTCTTTCTCAAGAAACGGTGAAATGACATAAAAAATAAGAACCACTGTGTGGGGCCCACCCGAGACTCAGAAGCTGGATGTGTTCATGGAGGTGGGGGGAGGGTATGTGCTGTGGGGGGTGATTGGGAACCCTGGCTAAGCCCTGGGTGGCTCCATGGAGAGACATAGCTCCTTTGGTGGCATAGGTGCTGCTGTTTGCCAATACTGGTGGTATGGAAGCTGTTGGAGAGCCAGCTGCTAAAGGGACTCCATCCGGGAAGTACGTGACACTAAAAAAGTTTTCTGCTTTTATAGATAGTTGAAGTGTTGATAACACCAAAGAAATCTGTCCCAGTTTGAAAAGATAGCACAATTCTGGTTTCCAGGCACAGCAGAAAAAGAAGCGAACATGGTAAGAGAAATGTTCTTTTAGTCACAGATGCTATTTCGTTTAAGACAGAGATGCATTTCTAGTGTCTACCCCAGTTTTTCATTCTGTTGCCATCATTTTTCATCAGAAGCCCCTCTCTTGTAGGCTCTGGGAGCTCACACATGGGGCTTATGGGTATCCTGTACCCTTGGGTACAGAAGGGATGGCTTGGGGGAGCTGGTAGATAGGTGCCTGCTCCCAGAGTGAAGGGCCAGGAGGGGAGAGGAGTGAGGGACTGAGGGGGTGCCATTGAGTCCCCAGAACTAGCTGCCCGGTATGTCCATGCCTTCCTGGGCTTTGTTGCTACTATTTCTGCTCTCTGAGACTCTAGTTCATCCACACGTATTAGGAAACCTGAGTCAGGCTACCCGCTTCACACCACCCCAAGGGAAGGGCTGTTAGCACACTACAGATTTCTGGGCTTGGGGAGCCATGCAGGGCCTTGCTCCCCCATGGGATTCCTGGACTCCGGAGCCAGGTGGAGTCCTGTGCTCCTGTGCAGCTGTAGTGTTGCTTTGACATGGTGGGCTGTTGACCTCGCTTGGCTGTTTATAACTCCCTTTTCCGTGTTAGCGTCCAGTGCGGATTTTTGTGAATGATGACCGCCACGTGATGGCGAAGCATTCTTCAGTGTACCCGACCCAAGAGGAACTGGAAGCTGTTCAGAACATGGTTTCCCACACGGAGCGGGCTCTCAAAGCTGTGTCTGACTGGATAGATGAGCAGGAGAAAGGGAGCAGTGAGAATGCCGAGTCTGAGAACATGGATGCGCCCCCGGAGGAGGAAAGCAAGGAAGGCGCTGGGTAAGCTGGGTGCTATCTCTGAGCTCTGTGTCTTCTTGAGGCCCCTCCTGGCCAGGCTGACCCTCTGTGCTGTGTGCCTCTCTCCTTTAGGGAACAGAAGACAGAGCACATGACCAGGACCCTGCGGGGCGTGATGCGTGTTGGCCTCGTGGCAAAGGGCCTGTTACTCAAGGGGGACTTGGACCTGGAGCTGGTGCTGCTGTGTAAGGAGAAGCCCACCACTGCCCTCTTGGACAAGGTGGCAGACAACCTGGGCATCCAGCTTGCTGTAAGTCTTGATGTGGGGTGGGACGGAGTGGGGGGTACTTGTCCCAGAGAAGGACATGGGGCCTGTACCAGGAGCCTCCTTCCAAACGCAGCCTCCCTTTCGTGGTGGGTGTCTGACTGGCCCAGCCTCCCCGGAGAGCTTGGGGAGTGGGCATTCCCTCTCATTTGCTCTTCCTCTCTGAGTCAAAGCTGACCCTCAGCAGCAACAACCCCCCAATTCATTTGTTATGGTCAGAGCGTATTGGATACTAAAAATCTATTGCTGTCAACGCCCCCAGATGGGTCTGCTTGGAGCTGGGCTCCTTGGGGCTCCAGCAGCTGAGTTGTCGAAGTCCTTCTCCAGGTCCTTTGGAGGCACTTCTGGGGACACTGACCAAACATTGATGCTGCCAGGCCCTGGACAGGTGTGCTTTACACACCTCATTCATCCTCATAGTGACCTTCTGAGATGGTGAGGGGCTGGGAAGGTGAGCCTTGTCCCCGGTCCTGGCCAGGCTCCTCTCAGGTGTAGATACAGGGCCATCAAGCGAGTGATGAAAACGAGCAGCTCGTTCCTCGGGGAACAAAACCACTGTCTATTTTCATTCACGCGCCCGTGGAAAGTCGACGATTGTGAGGAGTCGTGAGCTATGTAAGGGAAGGAGCCCTGGTATTGCGTGTGGCTGAGTGCCTGACTGTCCACGGAGCGTTTGGCCTGTTCAAACCTGTCGGTAGCTCTGCAGGAAAAAGAAAGGCAATGGGTTTTTTTAAAGACGTACAGCCTTAAAAACCCTCCTCTGTCCTGTTGGACCACTGGGTCAGTACTGGCTTGAATGGCAGTGGTTTGCAGTATTTGAGGGAAAGCCCTTCAATGTGGTTTCAGTGGTACAAACATTCTGAAGTTGATCGGCTTGAAGGAAACTCTGGTGGTAAATGTTTTGTAAAGGAGTGACAATTTCATTGAGATAACCAATTCCTATCTATAGTACTGTGCCCTTACGGCACATTTGGCAAAATCTCAGCAGCTGCTCACAGGGACTCCAGGAGGAGAGAGGCCTGAGCTTGCCCAAATGGGCCACAAGCCCAGAGTGTCAGTGGGCCTGGGACAGGTCAACTGAGATGACCAGGAAGAATTGTGTTGTGTTGCTCCCCCAACAGACACACCCACACAGTGACCTTTATTTGGCCTTCCATAATAGAAGTTTGAGTACAAACGTGTAAAGAAAAAATTTCACAAACATTAAAATGCTGTAAATAAGCTTCTAGATAGGCATTTTCAGTAAACATGTGTTTTATTTATTTATTTATAATCATTTTATTAGGGGCTCATAAACTCTTATCACAATCCACACACACATCAATTGTGTAAAGTGCATTTATACATTCATTGCCCTCATCATTCTCAGAACATTTCCTCTCCACTTAAGCCCCGGCATAGGTCCTCATTTTTCCCCTCCCTCCCACGTTTTTAATAGCTAAAAGCAAGAATAAGTTAGTGCAACCAGTGTAGAGTGCCAGGACATTGATTTCCGCCTCAGGTTGTGCTATTATCCCCATGGTTTATTATAATATATCTGTCTACTGTGTTCACACCTGAGGGTACCACCCATTGGCTGCACACTTAAGCGGTCCCCTTTGTTCTAGCAGCACCCTATTTCACACATCACAGAACTCGGGTGTCGCAAGAGGAGACAGTTTGTCAGTTAGGCAACGGGCAAAGAACCAAACAAGGTGCAGGCCAACCCTCTCCTCCCAGAGCCCTCTGCAGTGTAGACCCCATCTCACTGGGAAGTACCTAGAAAGTGGCCCAGCTCCTACCAGGAAGAGGGCAGTTCTTACAGTTGAGATGGAGTCTCATCTGTCCCCCACCCCTGAAGAAGTGGCTAGTCTGCTAATGTCCCTGGCAACCCAGGATTGGACGGCCACTTGCCCTGCAAAGAGTGTGGTTTTGAAAGTTGCACTTTCCCTTTTAGGCTGTTACAGAAGACAAGTACGAAATCCTCCAATCTGCCGACGATGCTGCGATTGTGATAAAAAACACAAAAGAGCCTCCCTTGTCCCTGACCATCCATCTGACATCTCCTGTTGTCCGGGAAGAAATGGAGAAAGTGTTAGCTGGAGGTAGGGAGGCCCAGACGGGCTGGCAGGGCGCTGGAACCCTTGTCTTCCCCCGCTGGGCAAACGTGCTGCTCAATTAGAGGCCGCCTCTTTGGTGAAAAGAAGGCATCGGTGTGCACTCCTCGAGCACCAGGTGTGCTCCGAGGTCCCATCCTCGGCTTTGGGCTCTTGGCCATGGCTGTTCTAAAAGTGAGTGGCACTTTTCCTAGGGGATCACACCACGTCTTCTGTGTCTCTTCAGCCTGGAATAGGCTTGTGACAAGTGTCACACGTGGTTTGCTGTTGAGCCATTCGTGGCCCTGGGAATGTGTGTCCCTGGTCTGTTTCTGGTCTATAAACCGCTGACGTAGCCAGGCGATGCTACGGGGCCAGCTTCGGGGTGCAGTTGGGGCAGACGGCTAGTGGTGCTGTAGAACTGACCTCGGGCGGCTTCCACACATGCCCTCTTCCATGAGAAGCTTTGATCCATGCCAGGCCTTGAAGCCCAAAGAGTCGATGCAGGCTTTTGGAGAACGTTTTAAACTGTTTTACCAGAGAGAATGCCAATGCTGACACTGTCCTGGTGGCCTAGTGGTTATACTTGGGCTGCTCACCACAAAGTCAGCAGTGGGAGAGACTGTCCATTCCCATAAAGATTGGGTCTCAGAAACCCACCGGGCTGCTCTACCCTGGCCCATAGGGTCAGTATGAGTGGGAATTGACCTGATGGCAGTGAGTCTGTTATCACGTTAATGCCATCTGCGAACCTCTGAGACTGCCAGTGCTTGCACAACCCAGCATACACCTGGGCCCCTAGGCGCGACCATCTCTGTGTGCATGGATTTTCCTCACATCGCAGCAGTAGGCCTTCTTCAGACCTCTGACACAAGCCCCGCAGAGAAGAGAAGGCCAGCGTCATGGTTTGGTGGCATGAGCCGACCTGGCCGACTAGTCTAGTCCCTGTCACCTGTTCTGGCCGCTGCTTCAGCTTGTGGCACCTGGTCATGCCTCTCTAAGTTCTTGTAGCTTATACATTATAGGGATTCTGGACCTTTGACCAACAGGACTCTCTCTGTCAAGGGCTGGGGACTAGGGCAGTAGAGCCTGCGGGCAGACATGCCCCCTATGCTGAGGGGCCATAGGGTACAGCTACGGGAGGGAACAGGGGGTTCCTATCTGCTCCCCTGACCCCACTGCCTTTTTTTTTCCTTCTCACCCTTCCATCTTTTTTTATTGTTGACATTTTCAGCCCGGCTAATTTTATTGGGAGAGGGTGGGAAGAGGATGGGCTCCGCCTGTCTCCTCCCTCCCTCCGAGATGATTCCTTGTAGAGTCACTTGTCACTTTTGCTTTTGTTTCCCGCTTTTTCTTTTTCTGGTTTTCAGAGGGGTCTCCCCTTTTTCAGACAGCCTCTCTGGAGAGTCGGATGTGTTTCCGCCATTCTCTGTCCCTGGGCCTGGGGGGAGACGGACTCCTCCAGAGCCTTGCCTGCCCTGCGGGAAACTGCCACCCCCCTCCCTCCCTGACAGAACCCCCTTGGTCAAACTGTGCCTTGTCTTCTTATTCCATCCATGAATAGAAACGCTATCAGTCAACGACCCCCCGGACGTTCTGGACAGGCAGAAATGCCTTGCTGCCTTGGCGTCCCTCCGCCATGCCAAGTGGTTCCAGGTTTGCATTTTGTTCTTCTATTTGTCTTTCAGTAGAGAATTCCCAAGTTGTAACTCAGCTAATGTTCACCTGTGCAAAGCATCATCTTTAACTTCGGAGCCACCGTGGCTCCCTTAGCACCTGCGGCCGTGCAGCAGCTAATGGAGCATGCAAGAGGCCACACATTTGACTTGTCCCCGTGTGTAACTACAGCCGCTGCCACTGCTTTGTGTTCTGAGGAGCCCGAGTTTTTCTCCTCACCTGCCCGGAATGGTCATGAACGGTCACCTTTGCCCTGGGCAAAGTAGCCATGCGAGATTTGTTGTTGGTGTGTGTCCTGCCATCTTGGAGGGGTGTGTGACCAGCATGTGCTTCCTTCCTCCAGGCCAGAGCCAATGGACTGAAGTCTTGTGTCATTGTCATCCGAGTTTTGAGAGACCTGTGCACCCGTGTGCCCACCTGGGGTCCCCTCAGAGGATGGGTAAGGGCATCCTCTCTCTAGACCTTTGCTGATGGGCTCATTTGCACCTGCAGAAGCGTGCCCCCTCCCACCCCCCATCTCTTCCCTCCCGTTTTCTGGGAACAGTTTTCTGGTAACTGGGCAAGATGGGCCTTTTGGGGTCAGGAGCACACCAGGCCTGAGCACTCAGGGAGGAGCTTGATGCTCACTGTTGGAGCTCTGCAGCGTCC